TTTTCCAATTCTTTGAAGAAGGATGGTGGTATTTGTATCAGGATAGCATTGAACTTATATAGTGCCTTGGGCAGAACTGACATCTTTACTATATTGAGTCTGCCAATCCACAAGCATGGTATATTCTTCCATTTGTTGAGGTCACTCTTGATTTCTTGTAGCAGTGTTTTATAATTTTCCTCATACAAATCGTTCGGTTTTTTAGTCAGATATCTCCCTAGGTATTTCAATTTGTGCCTGGCTATCTAAATGGTACAACCTTTTTAATCGTCTCTTCTGCGATCTTGTCTGATGCGTAGAGCAGTCCAATTGACCTCTGTTTGTTGATTTTGTACCCTGCCACTCTGCCATATTCCTCTATTGCTTCCATCACTCCACTTGTGGAGTTTAAGGGAGCTTCAATATATAGAATCATATTGTCTGCAAATAATGATAATTTCGCCTCTTCCTTCCCCAGATGAATACCTTTAATATCTTTCCTTTTTCTTATGTTGTTAGCTAGGACCTTCAGCATGATGTTAAATAGGAGTGGGGACAAGGGGCATCCTTGTCTGGTCCCCTTTTTCAGTGGAATTGTTTTTGTCTTTTCTCCGTTAACTACCACGTTGGCTGTTGGTTTTTCATATATGCAAAGCCACCTTTTTGATAGGAGCTTGCATTCTGGATCATATGGATGAATCCCAGAATCATCCATGGTTATTATTAGTTCAATAAAATCATCATTAGCTTCAATCTTGTTTAAAAGATTGATTGGAAGATCAATTCTTTGAGTAAGTTGATATTTGTACAACAATTCGACACCTTCAAGCAGAAAGCTTACTGATGCCAAGATGTTCGCTTAAAATGGAAATTGTTCAATATGTGAGAGGCCAACTTTAAAAGATATTACATCACTGCTGATTCTATGGTCTTCTTCCATATGGACTAACCTGTCATTTCATCTAGGCTGAAAATCTTCTTTCTTGGCTTCTCTTTGAGGTCTTCTTGCCTGTCTTTATCATCCATCTAAAAATGTTCTTTATGTGGGTCACCATTCATGTACACTTGTTGCAATGCTTCATTGATTTCAGAAGGCATCCACTTGAGTTGTGTTAAAATTTTGATTTTTATCCTGATCTAAAATTTTTTTTCAAGCCACTGAATGTATCTTTCTTTTGAAGGTACTGTGATGAGACTAAACAGCATATTACTGAGTGAGTTTGTCTGCAGTCATCCACTGATGGCAGGTGTCTGTTTCATTTGGAATAAGCCAGACATGTATGAACTGGATCCTTTGAAGCAATACTTGCTGACATAACTTTGTATAGATACTTGTTCATAATCTATTTTCTAATTGAGTATAATGTCAGATTCCATTAGGAATAAACTGTTATTACGTTCCACATAAGTCTACCTTCACAAAATTTTGCTAATAGAAATTTCTTTTTCTGGGAACTTTGATGTTAACAACTTTTACAACTTTCTAAAAAAATAACTAGAATACCAAAAATCAGAAAAGGTTTCAGTAGTGCATGGGGTTTAACAATGTGCATTTTAAAAATTGTTCATTCCATATTAATTTCTATCAACTATCAACAGAACATTGTTTTATGAACAATAGGGAAAAAATTACCAGTCTGTTAGTAGAATAACATTTTAGAGTGGTAAGGAATAGAATTTTAAAGAAACTGCAAGGTACAAAATTGATTCCTCAAGGTAATAACTAAGTACTAGAAAATTAATGACATTTTAAAATTCTGCTATAATACTTCTTTAGATAAATATAGTAAATGCAAGTGTCTAATAACATTATTCCCTACTTTTTGTGTGTGTCTTGGTTTTTATCATTTATTTTGTTTGTAGAACAATCCACCAGCCACTGGCCTAGAAAGATGAGGCTTTCTACTTCTGTGAAGAATTAAGAGTCTTGAAAACCCACTGAGACATTTCTGCCCTGTCCTATAGGGTCGCTCTGAGTTGGCATCAACTAGATGGCCGTGAGTTGGTTTCCCAGAGAGTGGCTGCTCTTCTACTTCTTGCTCTCTAGCAACTGTGTCAAGAGACTTGACTCTTTCAAAGATCAGAAGGTGCTAGCAGAGGAATCATCTTCCTTAGGCACATTCTGGGGCCTTAGCGTCAATTTGGAGGAGGCAGAGGTGGGGGTAAGGGAACGGTGGGGTTGGGGAGAGGGAGGCTCTGTCATCACTCTTTTCAATCATCATGAGAGTCATCATCTCTGGAGCCCCACGACCAAAAGTCCAGTCTGTCCTATCGGTCCCCACCTCCTCTGTAGCCATCATACTGTTAATATCCACCACCAAACACCCTTTTGCCACTGTGGCTCCTGGAGCCACAGCTTCATCATCAGCTCTATGACCTCGCTTATCATATTGATTCTGGACCCTGAATTGATTGTTATCCTGGCATAGGCGATCACGATAGCCATTAAGATTAAGATAACCATCGTGAACAATCATAATGACCACCATATTAGCCTCCAACGCTGTAATTGCCTTTCCTGGATGTGTAGTGGTCAGAGCTGTCTGAATTTGTTTTGTAAGAATCCCAATTTCTATCTTATCCAAAAGGAAGATCATCCCTGTTTTTATCCTGTGCTTGATCAGCAAAATCCACTGGAATTCTCCTGTTACCTAGAGACTCTTCATTGAGGTTCAGTGCACTAACCAGGCAATCCAGGTCCTCAACAGGACCACCAAAACCCTTTTAATCTCTCTGGATTTCTGGGTGCCCGAGGTAAAAGCACTGCCCTGGTATTCAGTCCTTTAAAGAATTCCCTCCTTGCGTCTTCTGTCACATCATAGGGCAGATTCCCTACAAAAGGAGGTGATTTGGGAGAACAGCTCCAGTTTATATTGGGTTCCCAAACAGCCCAGTGGAGCAGTGAGCAGGATAGAAAGATAAGTGGGAGGTCTCCTACGTGCATCACCGTTACAGTGCCTTGGTAGTGTAGTGGTTTCAGTGGGCTGCTAAGAGCAAGGCCTGCAGTTTGAAATCAGCAAACAGCAAAAGACAGGGTTTTCTACTTTGGTAAAGAGAGAGTTACAGTCTCAGAAACCCACAGGGGCAGGTCTACCTTTCCTCTAAGATTGCTTTGAGTAGGCAACTTGATCAAAGTGAGTTTGGTTTGCGTTTTTAGGAGCATCATCATTACTGAATCAAATGGTTGAAACCTCTCCTTCCAGGTCACCGGTTTCATCAGCGCAGCTGACTGGTTGGGGACATAGGTGCCTGCACCCTTCGCCAGGAAGTCTTTTAGGGAGAGGGTCTTTGCCTTCTTATTCTTTTTGCTAAGATTGGCTGCCATGAAGGGAGAGGGAGGGAGAGTCACTTCCTACTCTTTAAATGTGGGCTGTACATAGTAATTTTTTCCCTAAAAAATGCTAATAAAAATAAATTTCTGTACTGTGGGAAAACCTGACAACCATAACCTCAGGTGATTAAGGTATATACCTTTGACAAGGTGTGATGAAAATGGCATTTTTTCACTGTGATTTTCCTCACTACATCCAATAAACTCAGTCTAATCCTGAGAATATAAGATACAACCCCACGCAGGCCATTCTATGAAATACCCAGTACTTCAAACTATCAAGGTCATCATAAACAAAGCAACTCTGAATAATTTTCTCAGGCTCTCCACGAGTGGATTCCAACTCACAGTGATCCTGTCAGACAGGATAGGACTGCCTCTGTGGGATTCTGGGACTGTAATTCTTTACCAGAGTAGAGAGTCTCCTATTTCTCACTTGGAGCAGCTGGGCATTTTGAACTGCTGACCTTGCAGTTAGCAGCCCACTGTGTAACCACTATGCTACCTGTCATAGACTAGAGGAGCCCAATAAAATTATAAGACTACATGTAAAGTAGGGTCCTCAATGGGATCATGGAACCCAAAAAAAGAAAAAACGACATTGGAATGAAAAAATAGGAAGATTAAAATAAAGTATGGATTTCAGTTAATGACATATACCAATATTGAATCATTAATTTTAACAAATATACCATACTAACTAATTATTATATTCATATATGGCCAAAGTAGATACGGGTTTTCTGAGGACTCTCTGTACTATCATCACAACTATCTTCCAAATTTAAAACAGTTCAAAAATCAAAAGCTTACTTTTAAAAATTCACACAGTTTATGTTTATCTATAAAACTCCAACACCAAACTCACTGATGTGGAGTTGATTCTGACTCATTATGATCTGACGGGACAGAATAGTGTTGCTACTTTGGGTTTCCAAGGTTAGAAATCTTCAAGGGAGAAGACAGTGTCATCTTTCTCCGGTGAAGCTGCAAACCTCGTGACTAGCAACACAACACGTAACTCACTGCTACGCCAGGGCTCCGTGTGTTTATAGCTCTCACACGTACTCAGTGCCATCGAGATGCCTACTCATAGTGGCCTTCTAGGACAGGGTCGAACTTTTGCAAACATTCTCTTTATGGAAGTAGAAAGCCTCACCTTTCTCCTGTGCAGCAGCTAGTGTTTTTGAACTGCTGACCTTGTGGTTAGCAGCCTAATGTGTAACCAGGATACCGCCGGGGCTCTGTTTATAGCTAAAGATCCTAATGGGTTCTTCCTGCTTCTTTTCAAACTTGACAATAGAAACTTTCTTTAGTCCAAGAAGCAGCTTTCCCAGTGAATTATTTAAAATCACATTAGCTTTTTGCTTTGCCTTTATAAACTGTTTCAAAAGAGACTTGGTTAAGAAAATGCCTAAAATGCAATAAGTCCATTTATAACCTGATAGTATCCATCTTAGAAAGTAAATTGTAAGGTGAAGACCAATACTATATAGCTCACCTATCATATTTTTCAAAATAGTTGGATTTGGAGACAAATGGATTTCAGTTTGAATCCCAGCTTCATTACGTTCAGTGTTAGATCAAGTAAGTTACTCATAAATCATGAAAAGAAAAAGAGAGGAAAAACTAGCCTATCTTGTGTCCTTGTGAATCTGAACCACTTGCTGAATTGTTGCTCTCCCCACAGGACCGTGCACAGAATCTGAATGAACGCCGAAGCACTACCACCACTCTCACAGTCGATGTCCTGGATGGAGATGACTTGGGGCCAATGTTTCTTCCATGTGTCCTTGTGCCAAACACTCGCGATTGTCGCCCAATCACCTATCAAGCTGCCATACCTGAGTTGAGAACTCCGGTAAGATGCGCTTATCTTTTTCCTTTCACTTCTACCTTTTTAACTCCAACAGGAGTTCAACTATTCTTTTGAATTATAATAGCAAAATTCACAATATGATGATATGTTTCGGTAAATTTCTAGTCATGATGAATATTTATATTCTCTGCAAAGTATATTGTATGTCCTTGATGAACAATCACATTGACAATGATTGCTTTATTTGATTGTTTATATATATTTATATATAATGGTGTTCAGTTGCCAATATAAGCATTTCCCTCAAGTCATATTTCACAAAGGTAGCCTTAAATCGGAGGATGCACAGGGAGGACTCCAAAGCAGGACAATCCGTTTTAGCCACGTAGAGGGTCTGAAATGTGATTGGAGATTAAGTCTGACTGCGTGGAGGTGAAAGCAACCAATTCTAAGTGCAAGGACTTATCCCTTAACAGACATATTTGAAAGAAGCACCAAGGTGAGGCAAGAATGAACAATTTCTCTAGTGAGTCTTGCATCCATGTATATGCTCAATTCTAGTGGAAATATAAATTGTTGTCAGCTTGGAATTCACACTTTGAACCTCCCTAAAAATAAAATTAAAAGGAAAGTAAATATTCACCACGTCAAAATATTGGTTTCTGCCTGAAATAGAAAACATCCATTATCTATTGAGAGAATTCCTGAGAGCCAACCATTTAGCAAATCTGGCATTTCAAAAGCACCCCCCCCCC